GCCGACGTGGTACCTGAGAGAGCAGACTCACCAGTACCTGGGGCAGCAGACGCACTAGCACCTAGAGCAACAGCCTCACCAGCACCTAGAGCAGCAGCCTCAATGCCCGGGTCAGGCGGAACACACAGGTAACAGTCACCCTCAACACTATCAGACACAGCATACATGGCAGCAAGAATAGCATCATAATCAAGATCAAAGATAACAACCCCCGCCCTAGACAGGTCTCCCCAGCGAGGGATCTCAGTGGCGCCAGGGAACTGGTGACGCCACGCGTCCGTCAGGCGGCCGAAGCAGTGCTGGGTGGAATGTGGGCCCCCGCACTGCTCACCAGCGCGGTCGCCGGTACGGAGGACGTAGGTGCAGGGACCAGTACCCCCACCTCGCTGACGCGCAGCGTACCACTCACGAAGCTGCTGGGGGGACAGGGTCTCACGACTGCGCTGCTGCTGCTGGCGCGGACCACCACCGGGGCCACTCCTCTGCGCAGAGCCGCGACCAGCTCCACCGCTGCCTCCGCCGCCTCCGCCACCTCCGCCGCCTCCGCCACCTCCGCCGCCTCCGCCACCTCCGCTCCCTCCGCCACCGCCGCCGCCTCCTCCGCCTCCACTGCTGCCACCGACACCTCCACCCCCGCCACCACTCCCACCACCACCCCCACCCCCTCCACTGCCTCCACCACCACCTCTACCGCCCCCGCCGGCCCCTCCAGTGCCCTTGCCCCCCTTGCCCTTGCCGGTGCGGCGTCTCCCGCTAGGGGCAGACGCAGCGCCGACCGACTCGAAACCAACGAGGTCGGCCGCAGCAGCAGAAGCAACAGAGGGCAAGAGTGGGGAGGGGGAACACCCCTCAAAGACGGGGGAGCGAGGGTCACCACGAGAGGCTCCTACAGCGACAATGCTCTTCTCTGCTGCTAGGAGGCGCTCCTCGAGGAGGTCAACGGTGAGTGTGGTGGGGCAAACTGAGAGGAAGTGGTCCCTGACTAAGCGAAGGGAGTCAGGGAGCCGGGTGACTATGTAGTAGAGGGTGATGTACATGGGGGGGGGGGTTCTTGGCACAGAACTCAGCAGGAAGCGCAGCGCGGTAGCGAGTGTCGCTAGTGCGAAGGTGCGTAATGAGGTCAGCGACTGTGGGAAAGGCAGCAAGGTCAGGGAACAGGTACGGCAGCATGAGGCGGCTAAGTGCAGCAGTGGCAGGGGAAGAGTAGCGCGCAACTACAGCGTCGTACAAGGTCTGAGCACTCTTGTACTGGCTAAAGTGCGCACGCTCAGTGGTCGGTAAGTGGCGACGCACAGCAAGACGGGCAGCAGCATCGCGTGTGGCCCACTGTGAGCGAACAGTGCTGTCAGCAGTAGCAGGCGGGGCAGGAGAGGCACCAGAGGTGAGATCGAACAGGGAGAGTCCGTCTGCCCTATCGCACTGTAGGAACAGCTGGAGGTCATCGACCCAGACCTCAAAGTCAACAGTACGACCCTCAGCATCAAAGGTAAGGACACTGGGGGTAGCCATGACTGGAGTGGCCTAGCAGGGAGTGATCTCACCAGTCCGAGTAAGTAGGGCCGGGGCGCGCCAGTAGGAACAGAAGTGGCTCGACGGCAGGGCGGCTCGGCGGCTCGGCTGCTGGGCGGCTCGGCGGCTCGGTTGCTGGGCGGCTCGGCGACTCGGCGGCTCGGCTGCTGGGCGGCTCGGCGGCTCGGCGGTTGGGCGGCTCGGCTGCTGGGCGGCTCGGCGGCTCGGTTGCTGGGCGGCTCGGCTGCTCGGCGACTCGGCTGCTGGGCGGCGCGGCGGCTCGGCTGTTGGGCGGCTCGGCTGCTGGGCGGCTCGGCGGTTGGTGGCTCGGCTGCTCAGCTGCTGGGCTGCTCAGCGGCGAAGGGGGGGGGGGGGGGGGGCGGTAGAGGCGGCGACGGGGCCGGTAGAGGCGGCTATGGGGCCGCGAGGGACGGCGACGGGGCCGCTAAGGGCGGCGAGGTGGCCGCGAAGGGCGGCGACGGGGCCTCCAGGGGCGGCGACGGGGCCTCCAGGGGCGGCGACGGGGCCGCTAGGGGCGGCGACGGGGCCGCAGAGGGGCCGCAAGGGGCCTAGAGGGGGCGGCGACGGGGCCGCAAGTGGCGGCGACGGGGCCGCGAAGGGGCCGCGAGGGGCCTAGAGGGGCGGCGACGGGGCCTAGAGCGGCGGCGACTGGGCCGCGAAGGGGCCGCGAGGGGCCTAGAGGGGCGGCGACGGGGCCTAGAGCGGCTGCGACGGGGCCGTGAAGGGGCCGCGAGGGGCCTAGAGGGGCGGCGACGGGGCCGGAAAGGACGGCAACGGGGCCGCTAAGGGTGGCGCGAGGGGCCTCTAGGAGGGCACGACGTGAGAGCGGCCTACGGGGCGCGCCTCGGGCAGGAAAAAAAAAGTTCGAGTTAAGTGGTGGGCCCTGATAAGTGTTCCCACGAGGGAACCTGCTCTATACCATGTGAAGAATGAGGAATGAATGAACTAGGAAAGAGGTGGGTACAAGTAGGAAACCTAGAAATGTTGTACCCCATATAGTCTACCCCACTACAGCCTACACAGACTATAGCATATAAGTTTGACAGCAGTTTCGTTGGAAAATCGTCCGGGAAAATATCGCTGTACTGCTTCAACAGTGCTGCCAGGTCACTCGGTACGTCGGCCAGCAGTCTCTGTAAATCCCCTCCTTTGTCTGCTGCCTCGGCTTCCCGAATGTCGACCGCGTACACGTCAGCTCCTGCCGCTACGGCGCGTTTCATCGTGATCGCGTTGACACGCACCGACGAAGACTCAGGCGAGCCCCAGCAAGGTAAGGCGATGTTGTTACTGTTCACTCGCACGGTGCAGTCACCCGTCGTCTGGTCGATTCGCAGATTGTGTCGTCGCAGCCAATCACGCCCGAGTAAAATATCGATTCCTCGAGGGTCATTGCGAGCATTTCCTGGCTAAACGTGAAGTTACCCCCACATCGAATCCGAACCCGGTCTACGCGTTCCCGTATCGCCAGCGGCGTGCCGTCTACCAGTCTTGCGTCGATCTCAGGTAAACATCTGTCCAGTGGCAGTCGCAGTTTTCGTGCTGTGGCAGTGTTGATGAGGCTGTGGCTGGCTCCCCCGTCTACGAAGATTTTTACTAAGTCCGTCCCAATTTTCCCACTAAGCAGTATGGGGCTGTCTACCGTAGTCCCCTCCTTATTTGGCCGGGTGTGGTCGATTGCGTGAACCGGCACAATCACTCGGTGAGGGTCGGTTGGGTCGGGCGAGCGGCGTGACCTGTCAGTAGAGGGCCCGTCTGCTACTGACTCCCAGCATTTCCCTGCTGCTTGGCCTGTTTCTGCTGCTCAGCTTCCCCCTTTCCCTTAGCGTTTTCCGGGCATTCGCTCTTGCGATGTCCCGGCCGATTGCACGCAAAGCAGCGCCCTTTGAACGGTGCGGCAGCGGCATTTGCGGCGACGGCACGTATCGTGGCGCCCTCGTTCGTCCCACGAGGCCGATGTCCCCAATGGCTGTTTCCGTAGGACCCCGGTCTCGGTCGGCGGAAGAAATCAAGTTTCTTCGCCATAGCGAGAATTTCTTGAAAGTCGGTGACGCCGCCGATGTAGCGGTCGATGCGCTCGCTCTCGTGCATATATCCCACCTACTCGCATAGCGCCAGAAATCCGCTCGTGTAGTCTTGGACGGAACCGAGTTGGCGCCAAGTGCGGAGCTTCTGTCGCGCCGCGATCGAAGCCGCGATTGGCTCGAAACGAGCGCGCAGACCTGCGCACCACGCGTCCCACGTGCGATACTGGGGCACCTCCACGAAATACGACGACGCCCAGGGTCCGGTTTGTCCTTCCCGTGTCGGTAGAGTCGCGTAGTCTAACGGCTTCGTGACGATGACGCGCCACCAATCCATGGCGGGTCCTAGCAGCAACGACACGGCGTAGCGGATTTTCGCCGTATCCTCTGAGACGTAGTTGGCGTCGAAAAACACGTTCATCGTGAACAACCACGCCTGAACGGTAGGACCACCCCGTTGGCTGGGATCGAAGCATGGCGGACGCTGCGGCTTCAGCGGCATCGGTGACGGCAGTGCCGAACCGTCGGTTCGTGCCGAGATTGTGACGCGTGGCTGGCTTCGGACCGCATTCGTCGCTCCGGGGTGTGTCGTGCCGTGGTCGTCGTCTCCGTCGGGGCGGACGACGCCATCACTGGCCGCGCTTGCGGGTTGCCCCACGCTTCCGTGTTGTGATGCCTGTGGTGCGGGCTGTTCCGGAGTGCCAGGTGCTTGAGATTGTGCCTGTAGTGCTCGTGTGAGGTCATTTTGCAGGGACGAGCGTTCTGCCGTCAGCGTCGCGATTTCCTCGGCGCTCTCGCCGATTTGCCGCAGCAGATCGTTCAAGTGCTCCTGCGTAAGCGTCGTGATATCAATGTGCTCGGCCATTTCGAAGGGTGTTGGCTCGTCTTAGTCTAGGCGCAGTCGTGGCTGCACGCGTTTACGAGAGAACGCGAGGACAGTGGCTCCTAGGTGCTAAGGTGCGTGAGTCCCTTCGAGTGAAAAATCAAAAGTTGGTTTCCTGGGGTGCGGAGATGCGCGGTCCGAAAGAAAGGGGCTCTGAATACCAAGTGTTACGGATGCAATGAATCGAAGTAGCGAGAATTGCACTAAGGTGTCAAACGAGTACAAAGATGTGAGCGAAGGCATGAGCGAACATTTATACGCGAAACATGCAAACGGTAATGCGGTGCGTGCGAGCTAGCTAGTGCTACGCTGGCAGCGAGGCTCGGGCTAGTCCCGAAGCGTAGGCCGACACAGCCAGGCCAGCAGTGCGAGGTTTGGCAAAACAGTGCGCGAGAAGTTGGCGAAATCGCGTTAGCAGTAACGGGCGAACAATGGCTGTTGCTGCACGCGGTGTAGTCGGGTTCCATAAGCAATGCCGAGAAAAATCCTTACAATTTCTAAAACGTGACACCAGCTCAAACCTCGGCGGGTTTCGCAGCACCGGTCTCAGGGGGACTGTACAGCTGCTAGCCCTGCCCGTCCTGCCCCTCGGCATTAAACGCGGAACCCCCGTGCTTGGTCAGATCCATTCCCGCAATTTCCTCATCGGGGGGCACGCGCAGCAGATTCAGCGAGTGGAGAATGAAAAAGAGCGCGCCCATGAGCACCGACACCCACGCGAAGATGCAGATAATCTCGAGGCACTGGCACGCAAGCAGTTTTCCGCCTCCACCGTAGAAGAGGCCGTAGGGGGTGGTGTCGGGCTTGGCGTATGCCTGCATCAGGAACTCCTTCTTGGCCAGCAGACCTGCGGGAGGCACGGGAGGGTTAGGAGGGTAACGGGGGGATAAGGTTAGGAATTTGATTGTGGCGGACTTTCCGAAAGCCTGCCTCAGGAACTCCTTGGCCAGCAGACCTGCAGGGAGAAACGAGGGGTGGAAGAGGGCGAGGGTTAGGGTGACTTTATCAGCGCAGCACAGGTGAAGAGACGAGCAGAGGGGACCACAGGAGGCATGGCGAGGATAGGCAAGGAACGACAAAACGGTAATAAAAAACCATTTGGAAGAGAGGAGAGTCGGAAGGAGGGCCAAGGGCTAAAGGGAGAGGGGGAGGGGGGGGGGGGTGGGGGGGGGGAAGGGGTAACCAGCTAAGGGGGAAAGGGGGAGAGGGGGGAGAGAGAAAGAGAGCATACCAACAAAGAACCAACAAAGAAAAGTGGTATGCTTGTTGGGCATCAAAGTGGTAGACCAAAGTGGAGCTGGGTTGCTTCACGAAGGTCATTGAACAGGATATCTTCACCGAGAGCAGCTGTGTTTAAGGCGACTCAAAAACATGTTATAAAGCCGAGGGACGACTAGACAGCTTACCAACCAGGCCGAATGCTCCACAGCCAAAGTGAAGCTGAGTAGCTTCCATAAGGCCATCGAACTGGATCTTCACGGAGATCATGTTTAGAATGATAGGCGCGAGGGGAGGAGGGCCGAGAGAGCGTACCAACAAAGAAGAGGCCGAAGGCGTCACAGCCGAAGTGAAGCTGAGTAGCTTCTATAGGACTATCGAACTGAATCTTCACGGAGATGATGTTCAGAATGATGAGCGCGAGGGAAGAGGGACGAGAGCGTACCAACAAAGAAGAGGCCGAAGGCGCCACAGCCGAAGTGAAGCTGAGTCGCCTCGAGCGGGTCGTCAAATTGGATCTTCATGGAGATCATGTTCAGAATGATGAGTGTCCAGCTGGCGCCAAAGCCGCAGAGGATGGCGGCCCAGGGCTCCACCACGGAGCACCCCGCCGTGATGGCCGCGAAGCCGCCTAGGAGCCCGTTGCACACGTCCGTCACGTGCCACAGCCCTGCAGGCGGAAATCCAATCCCAAGGGAGGGAATCAAGATGCAAGGGGAGGAAACATGAGAAGTGAGAGGAGGCGTGATGGCCACGAAGCCGCCCAGCGGCCCGTTGCACACGTCCGTCACGTGCAAGCAGCCCTGGAGGTTGGGGAATCACACGAATAAATCAAAACACACGGGGAGAACACGAACGATAAGAAAGAACCGCCTGTCACGAGCCAGCAGCCGCAGCACGCAAAGGGACAAGGGCATGAGAGCAACGGTGTGGTGACGGAAAAGACACGAGAACTCCCTGCCTTTGGGAGGGAGGGGAGGGGGGAGGGGGGGGGAAGGCGAGAAGTAGCATACGTGGGACAAGCGCGCACTACACAGACAGACGAATGCGTGAGAAGAACGCATTGGTTTAGTGCGAGGGCTCTCGCAACCTCTAACACGTTTTGTTTTTAGCCAATACTGAAATGAGTAACCCTAGACAAGGAACTTACCGCCATGAGTCGCTTGGCGATAAGCGTGTTGACGGCTGCCATGCAGCCGGAAAGGGTGGTGGTGACGGCGGTGCGACCCACCCACGACCAGTTACCCAGCACGTCGGACCACGGGATGGTGATGCGCAGAAACGATCCGGGGTTGAAACCGAACCATCCGAACCTGTCGGGTTCGAACCGTACCATGGAAATCCGTTCGTTAGCCAATCAGAGCACACGCAAAAGGTAAAAGTAGGGACACCTACCCATGGGGATAAAAGAATCGAAGTAGAAAGAAAAAAAGGCACAAAACGAAACAATTGAGGCTCGGTCCAGGCATATCATTACACCCAAGTAAGGCCGAGTGGGAGAGCGTTGGAGCTCACCAAAGGAGGAAGGAACCGAGCACGACGAGCGTGGCCGAGTGGCCCTTCATCTCGAGCGGCCGACCGCCCTTGTCGAAGCGGCCGAGGCGCGGACCCTCGATGAGCGCGCCCCACAGCCCCGCGACGCCGCCCACCATGTGCACCACGCCGCTGCTCGCGAAGTCGACGGCGCCCACGTCGAGAAAGAGGTTGTTGGTGTTGAACGCCGACAACCACCCGTTCTGCGCGAGGGGGGGGAGGGGAGGGGGGGCAAGGGGGACAAGAAGAGGGAGCGGGAAGAGGGTAAATGCCATACGTACGAGGACTGAGTCGTGTCAAAACAGGGGGGAAGTCGACGGCGCTCGCGTCGAGGAAGAGGAAGCCACCCGTGAAGGGCAGCAGATGGAAAGGACCTAGCAGGCGTTGATACGTCTAGGTGGCGGACGCATACCGTGGCCCAGATCCGACTTTAGGGTCGACTCAAAATGTGTCGTGTGCCCTACGTGTCGACTCAAAAGTCACCTCGTTACAATGGCAGGCGTTGATACATCAAGGTGGCGAGCGCATACCGTGGCCCAGATCCAGTGAGCGACGACGGGGTAGACGAAGCCGGTGAGGAAGGTCGAGTAGACGAGGTACGCCGTGAATTGCGTGCGCTCCGCGATGGAGCCGGACGTGATGCCCGCGCACGCGATGGCGAAGGCCCATTGGAACAACCAGAAGCTGTAGTCGTAGATGTAGTTAATCCCCGGCGCATCGAACGACGTGTACACCGGCAGGCCCGACATGGCGAAGTAATTTGCTCCGATGAAAGCGTTACTGCGCGAAGGAGCACGAGAAACGAGGAAAGGAAGGCAAGGTTAGAAACGACACAAGAAAGGCCTCGCCAGATAGGCGAAGAGAGCAGCGAAAGGACGAAAATTGCAGCCCACAAAAAGGAAAAAGGAAGAGAGCAGCGTAAGGGATACGAAAGACCAGGAATTTGCTAGATACCTGGTTCCTCCTTGGCCAAAAGCGAAGGCGAAGCCGAAAATATAGAAAGACAGGCCTCCGACGCAGGCGTCGAGAACGTTGGTGAGCATGATGTTCATCGTGTTCTTCGCGCGCACCGTTCCCGCGCACAGCATTGCGAAACCAAGCTGTGAAACAACAAAACCGTTGGGAAAAAGTTTCAGATGAAGTCCAATGGACAGATCAGGGAAGACTCGAAGGAAACCTGGAAAGAGGCATTAGGCACTGGCATTAGGTCGTAGGGGTCAGGTAACGCAATGACTTACTTGCATTACGAAGACGAGGTAGGCGGAAAAGAGGAGGTAGGTGTTGTCAACAGCGAGCTGCGTCCATTGGAACTGCGCCGCGATGAGGTCAAGCTTGCTGCAGAAGAAAGTCGCGAAGTCCGATTCGCCGACCGTCATGTTGGGAAAGGCCGACATCAGCATGGTCGTGTCATCTTCGGTGCACATGAAACTGTACACGGAGCTGTACAGCCCGTTAGTGGCGGTGGTAACCTCCGAGTACGTCGCCATGATGGCGGCTGCACTGACAGCGCCAAGAACACGCGCAGAAGACGGAGAAACACCCTTAAACGTGACTGGTTCCCGAGACGATCTGCAAATGAAGGCTGCTCCAGGAACAACCGAGCTACGAAGACAATGGAAACTAAGTTATCAGCCTTGAGATTATATCTTATATCCTAGGCTCAATCCGAAAAGGCTTCTGAACCACGCCTCTAGAAGGTACCGAGCCAGGGAGTTCGTTACGGGCCGAACCAGAATCCTGAAGCTCTCCCACATTCGCAAAGGAAGGAGTCTGGTTTGGTTTCAAACGAGAGCCTGTCGAGCCTGCCATGTTGGGTAACTTTCGGGGGAACGTGAGCGCGCGAAGGCCGTAGATTGGCCGACGATGACGGGAATCGTCGCAGATGGTTGAAGACAGGACGTATGCGATCACAGTGATCTTGTGTTCGGCGAGCGCGACGCGGTCGAACCAACGCCGACGAGTTCGACGGCATCGATGGAGTGCTTTTGGAGGCCCGGCGTGCGATCTACGGTCAAAATGAAATACCATGCCATAACGGCGACGTTTTTCGACGAATCGGATTGAACCTCTGGACCACGAGGCTTTCCTGAGAGGCATTAGTATGCTCACATGTGACCACGTGGACAACGAAATGCAACATCCGCCACGGGATCACGAACAGAAACCAGGCAGTTGCACCAAATCAAGAAAGCGTGGCGGCGGCTGGGGTGGAGGGGAGGGTGTTGGGGTGGGGGGAGAGGGGGGAAAAGTCCGGGGGAGGGAAGGGGGAGGGGGGAAATGGTGGGGGGGGCGTAGCCGCGTAGATTCACTCATGCGTGATGTCAAATTGCTGCTGTCCACTGGCTAACTGGACTGCAGAGCGCCCAAGTCGCTTGTCTGTTGCTAACCAAGCTCATGCTTTTTATCTACCAATCGAAGGAGAGAATAATGCCACATGTGTTCAGAAATGCCAGGCTGGCACGACATGTGTCAGGAGCTCTTCCACCAATGAAATGGAAGGCTACCACTGCATTTTGTTCACTCTGTAGCTTCATCCATGACATGACACTAGAGTGTTATAAAGACGCCATTGTTTCCAACTAAATTGATGATTACATTACCATGCATTCCTCTCCCCAATGTATATTGTTATGATATGAAATCATATGAGAAGCCATTCCTGTATGCTGCAGGAGCTGACTCTACCGAGTACGAAGTGGAGGAGTCAGAAGAGTCGAAGCGACGCAGCAACCGTCTGACAAACACCGATGCAGACAGAAACATTTGAAATAAAAAGAGCGGGAACAGGTTTTGAAACGGGTTCCCGTGCCGCACGGTTTGAATTCGCTGCAATAAGGGAATGTACCCCTTAAAGTACATGGCTAGTCCAGGTACACGCTTCCTCAACGTTTAAAAAATCTAGACTGCCGCCGCTTTTGACGATAAGAACTTCTATACATGGAGTTTCTAGCTTGAGCTCCTCCTACAGTTAGCGCAGATCTACGGTAAGAACTTCTGAAGCCGCGCTATGCGCCGCCCTCCTGACTGAGCAGCAGGACATCGACTCGAGCAGCACAAGCTCCGCCCCGCGCCGAGAGCGCCTCGCCTTCTACGCAGACAACCGTGAAGAGCGACAACAACCAAGGCGCCACTATTGCAAAATATGCAAAGTCTTCGGACACTCAACGGATCGATGCAAATCCCGATCCAACTATCGCCACCCAAATTCCACTCACCACAACAACTGGGTCGGTCGACAAGACGCTCGTCATTCTTAGCTTCAACACGAGACCTCTCGTCCCCCTACACAACACCAACAACAGCAGTCTCAAGGACCTCAATCAGGAGCTCCTAGAAACATCATTGCAAACATGGTGACGCGGCGTCGTCCCATTGTTGAACCAGACGAAGAGGACGAACTATGCGGTGAGCTCATTCAACCAGAGGAAGGATGGAATAATCCCCTCACAGAGAACCACTACTACCTGTATGACAAAGACGAGCAAGATTGGCATCTGCCAATCACCCTGCGGGAAAGCCCGCCACACGACCACTCGCGTTACGTACCTGGGGGATGGAAAGAGGAAGAAGACCCATTCTTCCACAGACGCTACAAGGCGACACTGGTGACTCCGCGACTCGCGCTACTGCTGTGCAACAACAACACCAACAACTACAACACTTGGTACCTGGACAGCTGCTGCGGACAGCACATGGTGGGATCTATTCGGTACGTCTCGAACCTCAGCTGCGCTCCCGCTACCTACGTCACCGTTGCCAACAATGAACAACTGCGCGCCAACGCGCAAGGCATCGTGGTCCTACAAGCACGAGACAGCAACACTCACATCTCGTTCAACGACGTACTCTACGTCCCAGACCTCCGTTTTAACTTACTGTCAGCAGGACAACTTCGAGACCGCGGACACCCCTCCGAGTCACACAAGTACCTGGGACGGGCTCACTCGATCAACTGCATCTACGTTTTGGACTTCGACATACCAAGCTGTCAAGCTTCATCGAACGAGCTCGTAGATCTCGTCCCCCTTGATTCCCCGTTCATGAACAAAGAATCATGGGAACATCCACATGGACGGCCGTGGGTCCACCACAGTCTTCACTCCGGAGAGATCAACCTGCACGAGCCCGACATCAATGGTCTCTGCACCACCTACCACACATCCACGGCAAGCCGCATAGAACAAGTGGAGAGAGATTATGCGGCAATCCAGGAAGCGGAGAGCGCTGAGGCACAACCCACGGGCATGACAGAAATAGAACTCGCAGTTACCGCCCACTGTATCTTCGGTGAAGGCGACGACGAACGCGGCTTTATGCTGTAGGAACGCCCAAGGCCGCGCACAGACACACTTGACTTCGTCCTCAGAGCCAACACCGGGACCCTCGACAATGAAGGCCGTTCGCGCCCTTACCCCCGCGACGTCTATCGCACGGAGATCGACACGGCTTGGAAGGACCCTGGCGCAAAAGACGAGCTAAGCGTCAAAGAAGAACGAGACAAGGCCAAGGCAGAGAAAAAACAGGATCTGTACGAGAAACGCGTGGCGGCAGGATGGGATGAAGATTCAGCACGACGTGGCACGTGGGGCACTGCGGAAACTGACGAAGGAGATCTGACAAAAGAAGAGTTAGAGGAAGCCGAACGAGAGATGAAAGCTGAGCGCGGAGAACAATCCCTACGAGTCGTCGTTCCGCTCGGACGACCTCCGCGCACCTACTCACCTCCCCGCTCACCATATCTATGGAATGATCCTTGGTCGGAGATTGAGGAGGGGAACGTGCTGCTAACTCCTCCGCGTGACCCACTTGGTCCAATCTCCCGCCCGGATCCTTTCGCCCGTTTCATCGAAGGCACCAGGACACCGCTCAACATCATCCCCGACCGCAAATTCCTCGCACTCTACCTCACAACGGCACCCGCAGAAGGAGAAATAACTGCAGAAGCAGAAACAGAGGAGCCGGGCAACGAAGCAGAACCATGAGAAGAGGAAGAACCCCTGCTCCATATTCCGCAAGAGACAGAGGCGGAAGCAGCAGAGCATCATGCCCGCTACATGTGCATCAGCGGCATTCGCGCCGAAGACCACCCCTGGCACCAGAGGCTCGGCCACCCCTCGCGCCAGACTCTTGTTAACTGTCTCCGCACCAAGGTATTTCTCCCGGGAGCACTCATGCGCCCTGACAACACGGGACCTCACAACACTTCACATCCAGTCACTTGCACTGTTTGCCCCACAGCCACTCTCTCACACAGCGCCTACCCCTCCCTGGAGCCAGGCACCAACCGCTATAAGAACCTGCAGAAGGTGTACAGCGACTTCATCGTTCTCACCTGCGACGACATCAACGGCGAAAAACACACGCTCACCTTCATCGACGCCTACTCACGCCACGTCTGGATTGCCAACGTCGATGCACGATCCAAGGCTCCAGAATTTTTCCGCATCTGGCTCGCACACGCGCAACGGCAATCGGGGAGGAAGTTGAAAATCTGGCAGAGTGACGGGGCCAAGGAATTTTGCAGCAACGAGCTGGAAAGCGTCATCACCGAGAAAGGGATCAAGCATGAAATTTCTCTCCCCTACGCTCACCAGCAGCAAGGCGTCACATAATCGATTAACCGCACCCTCATGACGAAAGTGCGCGCCCTCATGAATCAGTCCGGCCTACCCAAGAAGTTCTGGCCCTACGCCATGAACCAGGCCAACAAGGACAACTCCACGCACATGAAGTGGACTGGCTCAAGGGGAGACCCCTCCATGCTAAGGGTTTGGGGGTGCATGGTGCAGTATCGACCGACCTCAGCCACAATCAGCAAGTTCGCTCATCGCGCGCACTGCGGAATCCACCTGGGACTCAATAACCAGCAAAAAGGCTGGCTCATCCTCGACATTGACAACAAGGAAATTGTTCCCGCACGTGATGTTCTTTTCTACGAGCGGCTCACCTTGAAGCAGTGGATCGACGACAAACGTTGCAACGAGGCATGCGGCTACGTCAACAGCGGCCGCAGCTTTGCATCCCAAGAAGACGAGGCAGCGGTATCGGCACTAGACCGTGACGACACTGACGAGCATCCGGGCATACCATCTTGCCCACGCAACGATGACGACGATGATGACAGTGATGACGCTTCCGCGCCAGGGCCATCACGACGCCAAGCCGAGCCTAGCACCACCTCACCCGGCTACGAGAGCAGCGATGAAGATGTGGTGGAAGTCACCATAGACACCACTACCAACGTGTCCGGCTTGCAACTGCTCGGCCTGCACGCGCGCGCTGTCGAACCCGCGCCAGGCCCTTACTGGCCCTCACACCAGGGAGTGGCGTGCCGCAATGGATGCAGAGCTAAAGGCGCTGGAATCTCGCGACACAT